TATTTTCCATTAGAATTACTATTTAATCTATCCAGACCATTTTTTTCAGTGTAATATATATAATAATTCACAGAATTGAATTATTTAAAGCATTAAAAGATCCAGCTTCGATCGTTATAGGCATTTTAATTTCTAGTATTAAAATATTCTGTTAACAATAAATATAATTGTCCCTATATCAGTTCTATTTTATGATAGATCGTTGATTAAATCCGGAAATTTTTTTTATAGAGCGAAACTAAAAAGAGAGAACGCACAGTGGATCGTAAAATAAATTTGCGGATATATAACTTTAAAAAAAAAAAACATTGCTTGTATGTCTTCCGTCTCGGGACGGCAGGCTGAGAAATGTTAAACGCTACTTCAGTGTTGTTCATGAGAATCATGAGCTACAAAATGATCGCGTGCGACAGTTTCGAGAAGAGAGGAAACTACTAAAGATATGCCTCGGGATAGGAAGCGCAAATCGTTCCCGCGCGAGCTCTGAAATCTTCCGTCGCCGCCCTCTCGTCAGATCTTGAATACCATCGTTGGCTCGCGTTTCAGGTCGCCGCTGCCGTTGCCCAGGATTACGAGGTCTCGGACATTCAGTGCAGCGGCGCGGGATCGGCGGTCGATCTCCTGACAGCGAAGATCAAAAGGCCGGTCGGCTTCAGAGGCACGCCGCTCTTCGCGGACGACAGATCGGCGAATCCTCTCGCTGATATTCACTGCCAGATCAGGCCGGATCCGAACGATCCACAGGAAGATAACTACTTCCTGAAGGTGACTGACTTCTCCCGATGCGGCATCCTCAAGAGAAACGTGAGTCATCGAGCGATCGAGTGAGTTACGCGGAACGCAATTTTTACAAGGCGATCCCACGATGACGCTTCGACCGGGGGCTTCTCTGCTCCTCCGGGGCTTGTAACTGACGTTGCACAAACGGAACAGCCTTTGCGGATAGCGATCGATAACGATTCTAATTCGCAATTGATTCCCTCTCAGGAGCTCGCTTGCTATCGCAGATACGCTTTGTACATTCAATCGGATGGTATCAGGCATCGAATGCCGTTATGATATTTCGAGAAGAAATAGCTAACGCTCGCTGTAACTAGCTACTTGGATGCGTCCAAGTTTAACTGTACTATTCGCCTAATTCCGCGCTTCGCTGCCGCAAACGTCCTATATTTGAGTCACGACGCATCTCGCGGAACGTCCTTGTAAAAATTCTGACATATTTCCAGGTAAAATATTACCTGTACTGAACTGTGTAACTCGCACAAATCTTATTAATCAATCTTGTGTGCAATAAGCTACTATTATCGCAATTAATTGTATCACCAGGGATTTATCCATCTGCGAGTGTGGTTTCCGGCCTTTCCCGGCGTGGTGATGCTGGCCGATCAGGAACTGATCCTGATGTGTCGGCCACCCGAGCCGACCCTGCTGAGGCACAAGGCTGCCGGTTTCGCCGGCACTTTGTAAGTCACACGAATTCCACCCGCATATACACGATATTTCCTCAAAATCTCGCGAGTAATAGATGAGCATTATTTCCGCCACGTCGCATTTCGCGTCCGCCGAGGAGCGGCATTTCTGCGCGAGTTCCTGCCTCGAGGAAACGGTTATCCGCTTATTTAATTATTACACTTCATAATGATATGAACATATAAGTGCTGTCAAAAGAGGTCTTGTTACAATTGCTCTTTATTGTTTGCTTGGACCTATACGAATAATATTTATAGTAATATCCTGCAATAAGAAGTTAATAATATCTAGTCTACCTACTAAAAATTAATTAACTATTCTGTATTTAACAATGTAATTGTTAAATTATTATATAATATAAATGTAATGATATAAATGTAACACCGTATTAAGTGCTCTTAAATGCAATTCGGCACGCAGTCGAAAATCTATAAATATAGTATATATGCAAGTATATATACAAGATGTCCCTAAAATTCAGCATTATCCATCCTGAGCTGGTAGAGCGGACTAAACTAAGTCAAAAAGTTCTCTACTATTTTACAATTTTCGCAATGTTTAACGAGATATTAATTACTAAAAGTCGCTAAATATTGTTTTTCAATAATTTTTTTACTCAAATATTATCAACTTTACAGAAAAACTGCAAGAGAAAATCATTTATTTTCTTCTTATAGAACTCTAAGAATTTTTTATCAATTTTTTAGTATTGCATTTTCTTATTTTTATTACCATGAGAAAATACGGTATTAAAAATTCTGAAAAAGTTCTGAAAAAATTCTCAGAACTTTATAAGAAGAAAATAACAATTTTCATCTCTTGTAGTTTTTCTGTAAAGTTGATAGTATTTGAGTAAAAAATTATTAAAAAGTAACGTTTAGCGATTTTTAGTAATTAATATCTCGCTAATCATTGCGAAAATTGTAAAATGGTAGAGGACTTTTCTTCTCAGTTTGGTCCGCTCTATCTACAAAAAAGCGATTGGCCGAAACTTACGCGACACCCTGTGTAGTAATTCAAAATTGAATTATTTAAGCATTAAAGATCCAGCTTCAACTGTGTGTTATAGACATTTCATTTCTAATATTGATTGTGTTCTCACATATGCGATCTAAAATAAAGATTCTTAATATTGTTAAGTACTAAATTACAACATTGAAGTTATATTATCCTTAGTCGTTGTTAACTAAATATCTTTTCAGGATAAAACTGAAGATAAATATATCATACGTGTAAATTACATGGAAAGAAGATTTTGCTGAAGTATCTAAAAATTTAGCTGGATCTAAAAATAATTCTCGGATCGTTGAAATAATTATGAAAGAATTTCAAGCATGATGAGCAATGCTGCAAAAAGTTGTGACATTCTAACAACTATGTTTGATCGTCTTACATAATTATTATATTTTGATGGACCAACAAAATTATTTTCAGATCTAGCTAAATTTTTAAATATTACAGCAAAAAACTGTCCTTTCCGTAACTATTTCAAACAGAAAAGAAAAATAATGTAATACATTTTTAAAATTTTTACTTATATAAATGAGAGAAATTTGTGACAGAAGTATAGAATAATGATAGCTGATACAACAGCAAGAGAGAACGCAACGTGCTGAAGCGACGACGCGCGTCTGCTTTAAAGGGTTAATCGTTTCAGTCCGCACGGCGCCAGGGTGTCTGGGGTGGTGGAGGAGACGCCTGGCCGGCTCGAGTACGAGGTGGCCCTTTATCGCGAGGCGACCGGCAACGTATCCGATAATTCGCAGACGGTCGATCAGGCGGTACCGATCGGTACGAAGCTGCAGCTGCGCGCCCGCATCAGCCCGGACAGTGCCTGGGGCTACATCAAGCTGCTGGAGGTGACGGTCAGTCCTGACCCGGATCAACCCCACGCCCCTGGTAGCGTCGTGCTCGTAAAGGATGGTTGTAGAAATCGTGATTTCGCATCCATCATCCCGCATCAACCGGCGAGGTACCGCGAGCGCAAGAACGAAGTCTTTCTCGACTTCGAGGCCTTCTTGCTTAGCTCGATGAGGGAGCGCTCCACCCTTTGGATCCACTCGCAGATAAAAGCGTGCATGGAGCCGCAAGATTGTCAACCGGTAAGCGATAACGATTTTTATTCAACACGTCGTGGAATACGACGAGTGCCAGAACGATGTCTCAGAATCGTATAAATCGTCATCCGACGATATAACATAAAAATCAGAGTAATTTATTATATATTAGTAGAGCGGTAGGTGATATTATGGTACTTCATCTTATACAATAACTTGATTAATCAATATTTAAATATTTTTGAACAATTACATTTATCAAAGTATTGTTCAATCGATTAAAAAAAAAAATTACGGAACATTTATTACTTTGAGCACTATTTATAAAAATGTGGCAACACTGCATAATGGTTCGAAGAGAAACAAGAATGGTAATGTAGCTTTCCAAAAAAATAGATTTAAAAAATTGGTTCTGTTTTAAAAATGTAGTATTTAGTTATATAAAATTAACAAAAAATAAAATATTACAGAGCGTATATAAATGTATATATATGTACACGTAACTCTTCCGCAGGCTGCACAATACTAAAATATCTATATTTCGGATTCGACTCCCGACCGAGATAATATTTTTCACAATAAATCTATTTATTTACAAACTTCCAGCATATTAAAATGTCTTTAATAAATGCCTATTGAGCATCAAATTTAATTGTAATATTACTACAGTAGTTCAGTCTCGCTGCGTTTCTAAGTTCGAGAAAATTAACTCAGCGCGCAGTTCAAATGACTACAAATATATATAGTATACAGTATGTATATGTATGTATTGTACATATACATATATAGTATATACAAATTCAAATGGCATTATTTAAACATTAAAGAATCAGCTTCGACCGTTATAAGCCTTTATTTCCTATTGATTGTGTTTTCACACGTACGGTCCAATAAGATTCTTATTGTTCAAAAATTTATAGTACATGTAATATAAACTATCGTGGGGTTAATAGAGTAACAATAGAGCTACACTCAATTTAAGCTTACTTTAGACGATCTACAACTCGCGATCAATTCAAGATAAAATTTTGCTTATAATTTTATGTGTCATATATCTTCTAAATATAAATGTGTATCATGATATATATTTTGTATATGTGAATTTTACTTCTTCAAATATTTTCAATATTACACGCAAAATTATAAATAGAATTCTGTTCTGAATTTGATTGCGAATTATAGATCATCTAAAGTGGGCTTTATGGAATAATTATTTTGATATAAAAACTTTGATATAAAAAAAGGCTGTCAGAAATCAACACACTTAAGGAGTTATATTAGCAAAATGTCATATTCTCTATTATTTAACTTTTCATAATTTGAAATATATACAATTAAATAAAATGTTAAATAAAAAAGAACCACACGAATATACATACATATATTCGTGTGGTAGTAGCCTTAATTATAAGAAGAATGAAGAGAAATAATTCCATAATTACTAAAAAATTCGACAGTTCCTGTCTAGCGGAGATGAGGGGCCGTAATATTTATACAACCGTCACAATATCTTCTCCTCTTTTTTAACCCGAAAGTAGTTACCTGATTTTTTTACTTACAATCATCTGAGATGTTTTTCCATTACAATCAAAATCACTATATTTCGATGGAATTACATATTTAATATATGTAAAGAATATTTATTAAAAAAAAAGAAAATATGCTAAACAATATCCATACAAAATAATATTTTATAAGAATTCATATTTTTTTCATCTGAATCCATAAAACATTCTAGGCGATTATTTCCGAGTTAAATGTATTTTATATGATAATCATTATATTTGGGAAAGGATTTATGTTATAGTTTACTTATTAAACTTGAATCTTTCTGATTATCTTTATTTTGCTCTAATTCTGAGACTCTTCTGAAAAATAGATATAAATTTACAAGGTTTCATATAATTCTGTGAGCAGTCCAGAATGCATTTTTATTATTAGTAACAATGTAGACTGACACCATTTTGTCAGTCCAGCTACTTCTTAATTATTATCCAGCGAACAAAATAGAATTTTTTATTATTATTTAAATAATATGCTGCGAAAGTCTGTCTGAATTAAAATTTACAGGTGTTAATACTCAACAGAACATTTCCTATAAAATCAGAGAATTTTACTATATGAATAACTTATATATTTTGTGCTACATGCGTGTCTACATGTTATATGTATTAAAATTTAGAATGGAGTCATTTGGGCAAACTCAACATTCAAATGCATTAAGTACACCAGCATGTCACACAAGTAAAATTTACGACAGAAAGAAAATGTAATAATTTCAGAATGTAGTATGTATGACGCGCATACAAAAATTCATTATCGCAGCGGACGCCAACGTAGTATTCAACGTCAAAAATATAATCGAGATACCTGTACAAGACTTTGAAATATGAAAAGTAATATTTATGAATCTCATATAAAGATAAAATTAGATCATAGATATATCAGCAAACCTCGAAGTCGATGGAAAAGAGATAAATTATTCAAGTATTGTCTATGTCGATAGCATGTCTCACAATCAGTCTATCATTTCAATCTCTATTGACCTACATCTACATTATGCTGCCCTTAATTAATCGAAATTTTTCATTTTACAATAGTTATCACAATAATCTTCCGTGACACTTATTGAAACTTTCTAACTAGATATGGCACACAAATATAAGCTATCAATTTTTTTTTTGCTGCCCATCTATCGCGTATCTTTATTTTTTCAGGACTTCTGTCTCGATCTCTTTGAACCTTCGGGACACGGGAAGAAGAGAAAAAGATCCGTCGAGGCGAACGTAGAAGTATTAGGCGAGTTCCTTCCAAAGGTTGAGCGTTTGATCAAAAGGTATAACGACTCCACACCGTACACAAAGTTCAAAGAGAATATTGAATATACAGTAATGATGCCCGATGGTAAGTTCCACATTTCTAAATGCGTTAATATAGAAATTAAATCTTGACCGTGTAATCGAAAGTAATCTTTCTTATGTCAACTCGAGATAAGAAAGAAGATTAATGTAACTGGTATTCTGCATCGAAATTAATCCGGTGTGGAAAGCTTTATCGCTTCAGATCGTGTAATTATCATTTATTATCCAAACAACACAAGTCTAAAATTGTATCGTCTTTAAGTCGTCTTTTAGACACAAAAAACGTCTAATGACCCGATTTTGGACACTTTTTGTTATCTGGGTAATTATTACACGTAAAATTTCAATATAATAATTAATTCAAAATATTATGCAAAAATCAAAACACAATAATAAATTATTGTTTTAAACTTTGATTAAAAAAAATAGAAAAGAGAATGTTAAAAAAGGACTGATTTTTGCTCAAAAGGATGTAAGTAAAAAAAATAGTGTTTTTTGTAGATTTTGATCTCCTGATACGATAAAATTATTAAAAAGTTCATAGCGTTTGAAAATTAAGTGCAAACACGGTATATTTATTCAAATTTAAATATTTTTGCTTAATTTTCGAAATGTTCTCCAAACGCTATCAACTTACCAAATACTTTTTATTTTATTTACACATCTTTTTGAGCAGAAATCAGCTCTTTTTTTAACATCCTTTATTTTCTTTTTTGTTCTATAACATAATATCCTCAGTCTTGCCTCTTATGTCCATTTCCACCAAGATTAACTTTAATCTCGGTCCAGCTTACTCTTCAGCTTACTTTTTCTAGTTCTAAAAATTAGAAAAAAATGAAGAGTAAGTTGAACCGAGATTAAAGTTAATCTTGGTGGAAACGGGCATTAGCGTAAAATATATTATATTATCCGATTATTTATAAAAGAGTCTTGATTTACATAACGGGAAAAGGTGGAAAAACCGTGAAGCAATCGCTATAATTTTAATATTCATTATCATAGATTTGTACGATAAAGTGACAGCCGGCCTCGAAGGTAGCTGCGGAAATTTCCTCTACGTAGCGACGGGATTGGGTGCACTACTGGTGTTATCAGCCTTTATCATGTGCTACTTAGCATCGCGTCTTCACAATCTGTCCTCGACGGTGCAGCAGAACAAGTCGATCGACGAGTTGGTCAGAGACCGCACCAGGAAATATTGTGACATCACACCCGGCTATACCGGTCGTTCGACCATGCAATAGAGCGATGCGCGATTGAGAGAGATTACATATAAATCGCATTGAATACTCCTCACAGTGTACATCACGCGTGCGTCGTGTATAATTAACGTAACGTTACTTTGAGATAAGGATGTTTATTTGCAAAGAGAGCAACGTCACGTTTACGAACCACCTGGTTCTCCGTTTCAAGATATAGAAGATACTCGTCTCACTTCGATGACGATACGTCATTGACTGATACGACATGATATGATACGTTACGTTAGTTGCAACTTCGTCGAGGAGTGATTCATGCGAAAAACTCTGAATTAATCATTCAGATAAATGAACGACACCGCCCACCGTAGAATAAAAATAGTTCTCGTAACGAAGAACGTCTGGTGGCAAATGACTGTGCTTCCCGTGTAAAATAAAAATTAATTTTACGATGAACCAAGTGAAAATAAATTGGGAATTCGTGAAAGAATTTGTCACTAAAGTTGGAGATAAAACATCGTTGCTTTATCTTACGAAACAGATACGATAGAACACGATATGTCTTCGCGAGGAAGCACTTTTTAATTCTTCTACATAAATACAACCATATAGTCTCTTCATTTGTTACCCAATTTTTGATTCTAGTAAAAAAAAGCCTTAGATTTTAAAAAGAATAATTTCTGCTCTATTGTATGATTGTTAATAGTCTACAAGTACTTGTATTACTAGATTCTTTGATCAAGTCTATTATTTATAAACAATCAGACGAATGAGGAAAATTGTCAAAAATTATTAATGAATTAATTAATTTAATCGACTCTTTTCTGCGTTTCAAAGAACTTCATTCGTTTATTAGTTAACATGTAACGCACTAATATTGTATATTCTCCGAATATTTCGCGCACATGTTCAATTTCTGTCATAAGTTTCACGATATGTCGACATTGCTCAAATACGAAAAATAATCTCACTACGAGTCTCTCAAACGTGCAATGCTATCACGTGACCTGATCAAGCGAGTGGACCGCTCGTGAAATAAGATAATAAGGACCTCGCTGAATAATCGAAATCGAACGGGACATTTGGGGTGGTTGCACGAATTTATCACACCTTGTAAATAAACACAAATGCGGCTCGCATTTTACAGCATACCTTTTAACAGCGCAGATTTTATACGTATATTATTACGAAAATCT